GCTCAGCACCCCCAGCTCCCTCACACATCCTCCAGACCCTTCCCCAGCTCCGCTGCCCTTCTCTGGCCACGCTCCATCCCCTCAAGGTCCTTCTTGGAGTGAAAGCCCCAAAACTGACCCCAGTGATGTGCCTCTTCTCCCCTCCATGAGCCCAATGGACACCTCAGCGCCCTCCTGACTCAGTTTAAGGCCCGAAAATGGGGGAGAAGACACAGCAGGTAAAAATAAACCTCCACAGATTGTGACCACGGGCACAAGGCTGCAGCTTGTGGTGTACAGAGGAACAGAGACAAACATTAACACCCCCGCTGCAAAAAGCAAGGAGGGCTCGGGTCTGTCCAAGGGTCACCCACCCAGCACAGAACCATAGGATCATTTAGGTTAGAAAACACCTTTAAGGACATCGATTCCACCCCTTCACCCAGCACGGCTGCTGGGTTTAAATCTTCCTACTGAGGTTTGCAGGCATTCATCAAAACACGAGGATTTTGCAGCAAAAAGGAGCCCACCTGATGTCTCGATGCCGGCTACCCAACAGCCCCCTTTGGAAGCACTGAGGAGGAGGAGGGAGAGCAAGTCAGATGCCTGCTGCGACCTCTCCTCCTTTATTTAGCATTTATTTTTTTTAAAAAAAAAAAAAACACAGAACTTCAAGGTTTGTTTTCTTTAGCTGCAATGGGGTTTCTAAAAATTGTGCTTGCCGCTTGGCGCTGGCAGCTCGAGGGTAGGGATATATAAAAAGGCAAAAAAAAAGCGAAGTAGAAAAGCAAAGTGTGGTCGGTTTGGGGTTTTTTTGGGTCTTTTTTTTTTTTCCTGACTCTTTTCTTCCTTACCCTAATGCAGGGTGGGGAAGCAAGGACAGAAATATCCCTGCTCCGAGTCAGGCTCCCTCATGTGAGCTGGAGAGGAATACAACATCCCGCAGCCCCGCTCCCAAACCTCAGCCTCCCTCCAGCCGAACCTCAACGCTTGGAAACGCGTTTAAAATAAAAGAAAATAAATAAAAAATAAATTAAAAAGGGCTGTCAGTGCCATCTTCTGTCAGGCGTGCTGCACTGCACAGCCCTAGAAATTGGGGTTGGAAAAGCAGGATTGCATCACCCAGCCCTTCCAGCCTGGCTCAAAACCTTCCCCTTGGGAAAAAATCCTCGACCCACGGAGCTCCCCAACCCCTCTGCACCTCAACCACGGGTTGCTGGAGCAGGCTTGCAACCCTCCCTCATTACAGAATATATTTTATTTATGGGATTTTTACAAATAACTTTACAATTCACGTGACATAAGTTACGCTCTTTGTTTCGACGTGTTATCTCTTAACAACACCTGAGTTATTGAAATACTGAGATGGAACTCGAGCTTCCAACTGGACACGGGAAAGGGAAACATGGAAGAAGATTCAAAACAAGCTCGATTTGGGTCAGTTTTCCTCCTCTTTGTTCTCCTGCCTGCCCCCATCCCTTCCCCGACGGCGGGTACCAGCCTGCCCGAGCCAGGGACAGGAGCTCTCTCCCAACACACCTTCAGTGGAGGGTCCCTCTCAGTGAGGATCCTTGTTTCTCCGAGGGGTTTTCACCTCTCCACGCACCCCAAATCTCTGGGCTGAAGATTTCTCTCAGTTGGCAAGAAACAGGGTTGAAGTCGAAACGAGAAGACGATGGACTCATGATCCCCACTGCGTGCCGAGGGGCTGGCACTGGCTCC